AACAGGCGTAAGTAAGTAAGTTAACCACTTTAACTGTTAAACCTAATGTTTTCGTTCACATTGTATCGGATACCTGAATTTTGATAAATTTATCCCTCTTTCTTTCAAAGAATAGAGTAGAAGGTAAAGATATTAAAAATTAAATTTTTATACTTGAGCTTTTACAGTATTTAGTGTCAAAATGATTTGTAACCTCTTATAATCAATACCATTTCAGTAAATACATGTAGCCATCAATACTAAGTACTCAGTAAAAAAAAGTCTCAAACAGGTGAAGAATATTTGTGATATTGACACTTGGAAAATAGAGACATGTTGTCAAGTATACGACCAGTAGCTCAATTTGAGGATTGTTTTTAATTTTAACTAATGTCAGTTATGTACACGATCAGTGAAAATAATGAAGCTTAGGATTACTTGTAAACATTCACCCACAACATGACATAAGATTTAATCTAGGAATTCCAAGTTTAGTAACAAGCAAAATACTTTCAAATCACTAAGTTTGAATCCGCATTGCCTTATTTAATAAACTCATTGTTTAGTGAGTTAACTGTCTTGTTCCATAGACGACAGTTCTTATACTTCCCAACCTCCTACGATAACTTTAGAAAATCTATCTATCTGTCTGTGTGTGTTTATCGATTTGTCTGTCTAAATAACTCTATTTAACAGGTTGAAATCATGAGTCAACTGAAGCTAGACCACCATGGAAAACCTGGAAGCACTGGACGGCCGTTTCGTCCCAGTATGGGACTCCTCAGCAATGCGCATCCACGATCTTGCACCACGCGGGGCTCAAACCCAGGACCTCCTGGAGTTCTAGTGAGAAGCCGTTACCAGTAGAGTTCAACCAGGTCTGTTGTGAGATAACAACTCTCTGAAGACAATGGTGTACGGTGGCGCAACTTCGTGGATTGGTTGAAGTTAGACATTAACACCGTTGGATGCCGGCTCAGTGGTCTGATGTTTAAGTGCTCACGCGCGAAACCGGTAGGTCCTGGGTCCGAGCCCCGCGTGGTGCGGGATCGTGGATGCGCACTGCTGAGGAGTCCCATACTAGGACGAAACGGCCGTCCAGTGCTTCTAGGTTTTCCATGGTGGTCTAGCTTCAATCGACTCACGATTTCAATCTGTGAAATTTCTAAAACTCTCCACAAAACCTATTCTGAACTCTATTTAAATTCGATAGTAATATTTTACTCAAAAACTGATAAATCAAATAATTGCCAATCATCAAAGAAAGAAAAATGTATTTCAATTGTTGTCTTTAAATTCAAGTACAACACTTATTAAAGTCATTTTCACAAAAGAAATTAACTAATAATGGGTACAAATCATCTATTGATAACAATAAAAAAAATATTCATCATAGAAATACCATTAGAAAAATATATATGACAAGGTAAATTTCCAATCGATTTGTATCTTATTTTACAGTAATTTAATGAAGTACTATTCTAAGGTGAAATTATTCTAGTGTTCTTGTACTCTAATCGAACGGTTATATATATATATATATATATATATATATATATATATATATATATATATATATATATATATATATATATATATAAATTCGTACTGAATTTATATGATGTAAGAGACGGAAATGCTAATGAATCAGTGTGAACAAATGTAATACTTTCACCGTGTACAAACGCACACATTAATATATACACATATTTTCATATAATACTTTACTAAACAACAAAGTAGCTAGTTGATCAATACTAGTTCTTTTGTTAAACAAACCGTAGATAACAATCAAATAATTACTAATTATTGTTCCATGTTGATAATTATGGTAATCAATATAAAGTTTAAGAACTAAACATTTCTAAGATAAGAAGATTGATTTCATGATTCATGAACAAAATTTTATTTTCCAATTGTTCTTATCATAATCATATTCCGAAAAGTTTAAGATTAAATGGATTAAAAGCATTCAGCAGTGCTATGACAAGACATCTCCTTGATACAGGACATGAAGTTGATATACTGAAGTCCTTCAAGGTGATTAACAAACAATCAAACGTTTAAAACCAGATCTATGTATACAAAAAGAGACAGTAATAAATCTTTATTTACCCTGGTAACAATAACCCCCTATTATTCATTTATTTTTCTATTTATTTATTGCGTCACTATTCCAACTCTTTTAAATTACATCATACATAACTGATTGATTTCAATTCATATTTTCTTTATTACCATTAATCTGTTTTCATGAGTTCTAATCACTATTTCAATGCTCCGGAACTTTCCCTCTCAAACTCTATTTATTCGAGACAAAAATTTTATGACCTTATTAACCCTATCGGAATCTTCGCTACACCATGATACATTTATTCGTCCTTAATCACTCTCTTATGTATAAGTATGTCAATATCTGTAATAATGTTGAATTTTAAATATTTTAGGTTGTAAGCAGCTGATGAGAACCTAACGAAATAAAATGAATTCATATTATTCTGCACTAATCTTTGCTCTTGCTCTCTTTAAAAAAGAATCATTAACACTTGTATTTTATCTTAGGTCAACCTTCGTAATACTCGTCTATAAACCTTATACAATATTAGTATTCTTATTATTACCAGTAAATTCTGATATCTAAGTGTAAGTGATATAGAACATTTATTGAATCAAGATCAAATAGTCATTATTTTTTTCAGCATAAGTAAATTCTAAATATCATGCAACGGTCATTCAATAATCTCAAGAGGATAACTTTAATAGTAACATAGAAAATCTCAGTTTTAGATTTGATGGTTACCATTTTTTATTAGCAAGAAATGGACCAAGTTCCAGTCGGAAATGTTATCACTATGCTATTCAAGCCAGAATATTTATTTGACTGATAGAATAAAATGAGCATTAAGTACCAGAAAATAAGAGAATGAATATTAATTAATGATAGGTCAGTGTAAAATATATTTTACGTTTCAGTGAAGTAATAATTACATGCTTCTGTTGAATTAACTATTCGGATAAATAAAAATAATTCCTGTGATTTTTAGATAGATGTAAAGTTTAAAACTTTATGAAAACTTATGAATAGAAGGAAGTGTTGGACATATAATACAAGAGAATTTTAAGTTATTAACATCGTAGAACCAGGTAATTTTCCGATTTTATTTGTAACAGGTTAATCAATTAACTCAAAAACCTTCTCAACACTCATGAGACTAGTAAGTCCAAAGTGATTTTATAGTTCATATTGTGAACTGATCTTAATTAAGTAACCAGTGAATACCGAAAAGCATTAGATAGCTATTCTATCCTAGTATTGTATTTCTTATCAGTGAATATCTAAAAATCAACTGCGGGATAGAACTCAAGACCTTGTCTCACATTGTATGCCTTTTACCAATGATTTACCATCTGATGAGTTTGTAAATGTACACTGTTGAACAGTTCCATACCAGGATGAGACAACTTTTCAATGATTCCAGAATTTTAGTGGTTCTTTAAATAAAGTTATTCCACCTTCTAAAGTAAAGGTTTAAAAATCTTCACAGACTTCTTATATGAATTTATTTTATCTAACATACTATTTCATGATTAAAAGTGGTTTTATTTAGCAAACATCATCAAGAAGACTATATTTCAAATATAAATTGCTACAATGTTTAATATGAAACAAATTATATGAATAAAATATAATGCACAATAGAGGAAAATAATTCTTTTCATTCAAGGAATTCTTTTAAGGATATTTGTCAAGTAGCTGTTTACAAGGGTTATGTTTAAAAAGCTAAGCGTATTTATTTCTGCTACATTTGACTGATTTGAACTCATTGAGTGAGAAAATTTTTCAAAGTATAGCTCATTGAATTTATTTACTAGCTTCAAAATACGCGTCTTGTGTACGTGTGTATGTAAGGGAGAGAGAGGAAGAGAGGTATCGTAATGCATCTCGGTTTCTCGAATCGATAAATATGGAATAGATTCATACTTGTGACCTATCGAATGTTTTAAACACTGAATGTCTGCTGTATCAACTACATATAATTGATTCCAAAGTTAGTTCCTTTATCATAAAACTGACGATTTAAGTATTAATTTATCCATTTGATAGATGAATTTCAATGTGATGAGTGAATAATATGATCTAACCCTTATATATATTCAAATTTGTTATTGGAGTAGGTACACTACTCAGAATATTACATTCAATCATCATGCTAAACTTCATCTAAGAGATTATCATTAATTTCGAGTTAAAATATAAATAACCTATCTGTTTGTATAGTATGATTCAAATATATTTCATGTGATCATTTTCAAAAAAGTAAATAAACGAATGAATGAATGAATGAATGAATGAAAAAGAGTCTGAGCCAAAAACTACCAAAAAAAGTCTTTTTTTCCACTCGGAAACAATCATATTCACATTAACAATATAACACAACAACGTGCTTATTTGTTTGTTTTTTCTTTTTGCATTTTAGTATATCGAAATAACATAAAAGGTACATTTTTTGTTGTTGGTTGCATAGAAAAATATCTCATTGAGAGTGTGTGTGTGAGAGAGAGAGGGAGGGAAAAAAAGAACACAATTAAAGACATATTCGTTACAAATATTCGATGGAATAATTTTATTCATTATGACAAATAGACGGTATATAAACACATCAACGAATACGTTAAAGGTAAATATCATAAAATACGAATAGTTTTGTTAATCTGAACAGATTTCATGAATCATAGTCTAATTTCAAACTTTGTAGACTGACATAGAGTTTTACTTTTCTTTACAATATGTTTTACATTATTTTAATAATAGAATGGATGAGTTAATTTATATCTAAGTGTTTATGTAGAGATTAGTTTCATGATCAGATTATTTTGCTTTATGAACTGAATTCAAACAATAAATTATAGAGTCAGTAAGTACTTAACAACAATTTCTCTCTCATTTAAAACACCACATAAAGGAGAATATAGCACCTTACCAGAGATTAATATACCTATCTTAATAGAGAGTATATTACCTTCAGAATTGCAGTCTAGATGTTCATCTTTTCAGTTTTAAGTTTATCGAAGTTATTTGCTTGATTCAAATCTTTGTGTTATATTTCAATTTACAGGTGAATACTACGAATCAGTATTAAACTAGAATGATTTAAACACTTTGTTATTAGTTAAAGAATTTTTGAAAATCAGGGAGTACAATTGTGGTGCGTGCTACTTATATTGACGTAAGTAGTATATGACGCGAGTTAACGAACGTAATGTCTGGCAGCAGAAGATGGGGAGGAGATCAAGAAAGAAAGAGCGGGAACACAATGCGATTTGTAAGAAAACACATGAACAATGAAATGTGAGACAATGGATTGATGTTTGCAACAGGGAAAGTCCGGTTTGATATGATGGACTGATATTTTGCAAATTAACGATTTGCTATATGGTTTTTCTATTTTACCAAGTAACTCTGTAATATTGAGCTAAATACAATCCCCACTCGTGTTCTGTTCACTACACAATCTCCAATCGTTAGTAAAGTGAGAAGAAAAACTAAGTATAAATATTACAATTTTAACAATTCGATAAATATGCGTATCATATGATTTTGTCTTACAAGTATAAGAATAAATGTGTGTGTATATATATGTGTACACCATACAAAATACATTACTACACTTTTTAAAATCATTTTTTATCATACATCAGATAGTGAGGTTCAATGAGAATGAATTTTATTATCTTGCTTTATTAACAAGATGTCAGTTGAATTGATTTTCTCTTTAAAACATTTGACTATAAGTAATTTTCAACTTGAAACTAGTTAACTACAAATACAATCACATTGGGATGTTAGTTGATTTGGACGTAATCAACATGAAACAATAGATCTAAGCATTTTGATAATTGGTATTCGTTAGCAACAGGTACCTGTCATACTAAGTGAATTAATGCTTCTTGACTGATTTAAATATATGGGACACTAAAGTAGCAACGATAGTTATAGTAATGAACATCAACCAACACCAAACCTAGGTCGATCAGGGTCTCTTATAGACTACTTACAACCACCTTACATCTCAAAATAGTGCACATGACATTGAGTCGCTTAGACTAGTGACTGGATTACAAACTGATCGATAGAATTCGATTAGCACTGGAAGATTAGACGAGTATGACTTTGATCCCTGCTACTTAGTGATCAATCATGTTAAAGTGAATATATTATCGAAAAAAAAATTGCTAAAAGAAATGAGTGGAGAATAAAAAAAGAATCACTACGGTGCATAACTGAGTTCGCAATAAAACTATTTATTTTATTTGTATGTATATTAACCTGTATGAAGTTATAAATATCAATAGTCAAGAAACGTCGGCTTGAGTTTAAGTTCTGAGTATTTCAACTCAAACTGCTTATTTATCATTACTGTAGAAAAATTCTAAATATACCGTTCCTCACAGCATGTCATATAATAAAAACATTTTAAATTTGGATATATATAGATAGTATCGGATAATAGACTTCCTACTTATCAGTGGAATCTGGATTTTGTTTTATCTCATCAAGAAGATCTAAACAAAGAGTGTACAAAACCAACCACCAGTATACAGGCAGCTTATTCCACTACAAAAAAATGTAGTGGAATAGCTTGAACATTAATGCAAGAATAATTTAGTTGCATTCTTTTAATTTGATCATAATAAACCCACCCTTTAGATATAATGTTTTACGAGTTAATAATCTAGCCGAAGAGCAAGGTCTTCTTTTAATTGACTTTTTAGTGATTTGCCTAATGAACCCTTATTAGCTCATTACTCATATCTCAGATGACTTTTATTCATGTTCATTTTTGTCCCTAATATTTTTCTGACATGTTAATGAACAAAACTAGTCTGTTAATACCAGTTCTTAAAAAGAATCGTGTGCCAGTGAAGTAGTATGTTGTACATACAAATAGTTCAATGTATAATAGTCAGAAATGTTTATATCAAACTTTATTAAATACGTAAGAATAGTTTGCCAGTGTAATTTTGGCAGTGAACAAACCGTGGTATAAAACTTTGGTGTACTGTAACTACATATTGATTATTAGGAGCACTCGCTAATAGGATCTTGAATATGTACATACAACGGACTGCTACGAACCACCAATAAAATAAGTAATATCAGAATTTTACGGGGTTCTGGTTGCATGAACATTGCAGTTCTAATTAAAATATAAATGTTAACAAGAAAATCTGATGGACTCTAAAAAATTATATTTGTCCGCTTATTCATTCATGTTATTTAAACAACCAAGTATGGAATCATTACTAGTCAGTCAGCTACAACGTAGGACCAGGCACGTATGTGCATCGGTCCAGGTTGCCATACCGCATTAGCACGGAATCATCACTAATCTAACCTTACAAAGCTGTTTGCAAGAGCATCCACTTAAACGGCTAAGGTTATCCTCAGTTTCACTAACTTTGTCGTGTTCAGCATTTTTTATCATTTCTTCGTCCATTCAATAGGCAGCTGCCACATATGTAAGGGTGAATTTGATTAGAAATATTATTTAGGAGCATAAAGTTTACCACATGTGTGCTCCTATCCGCTGCGACAGAGAAAACTACATCTAAAATATTCGTAGCTGGAAGGTGCAAATAGTTCTACCAACCAAAATGAATTATTTGATGAAAATTAGACCACATTTTTCAGCTATTAACCACCGACTGGATAAAAAATGGCATGAGTTGCTACATACATCAAAAATATTGTGGATACTCTCAGATGATATCGCGCCATGAATGTTTAAAAGGGGCTTAAATAACACTCGCGCATTTGAAAAACTCCTGAAAAGTAATTCGAAATTAAGGTCTAAAACACAAGTTCAGAAGTTTTAAGACCATAGAAGTTGATTTTAGACTACTTACAACAGTAATTATAGTTAACCCTAATGAAAATATTCCGGATATTTTGAATTATATTTCTTAGTGTGTGAGTACGACTCTGTTGGCTTTTTATGGTGTAAAAACGTTTACAAGTACGCAATTGATTAGCCGACCAAGATATAACATTTCTGTCTTCAAAAGTGTTATTCGCTATTTTTTTAGACAAAACCAAAACTGTTAAATTAAATTGTATAATTAATTATAACTGAACAAAATAAATATAACAATATTTCTTTTTGGAATACAATAAATTGATCATATTACGTGAAGGTTTGTTATCAACTAAAAATAACCTAGAGTTATAAAGGATAATATTATCATAAACAAAGTTTTGATACATCGTCACTAGTGTGGGTTCGAGCTATACCATTGTTGGTATCCACTATTAAACTTGACAGGCCTTTACTGGGACGTATCCCGTTCGGATTGCATCAATGTGATAGTTTTATCACAATATATTTAGAACAGACCGATTGTAGATAGCACTGGAATCCAGAAAGAGCAGCTCATCCCACTTAGGACTCTATAGCTAGATATATTTACATTTCGGCCTCTGATATGAACAAAAAGATGACTGAAACGCTTATCGATAATGTGCTAATCATCATAGCTCATAGAACAAATTGCTAGCATTCTGAACTCAGCCAGTAGCTTAGTGGATAATGCGTTAAACTTAAATTTATCAAGTAGTCTAGTTGTGTGTAATATATTAGCATTTAGAGTGAAATGTGCTGAATTTGAGTGGCAGCGTGAAAATAAACGCTAGAATGCAGCTACACACAACAAATGAGTCTCAAATAGAACAAGAAGCACTTACTAAATTCCAAGGCTAGTTGTATTTTTCTGTTCTAAACATTTCATTTATCCTAATTAATGAGGCTGAGATTATTGTCGCAAAACAAGACAGAAAATCGTAATAATGAGAAAATCCCATAACAAATGCTGTTCAATACAGTAGTTAAGGTTGATCGCTATTTAGTTTATGTTGAAAATGAAGTCATATAAAGCGGAGAATGAAGTCATCAATGCTGGATGATAGTCAAAATGAAGAAAACAAATAAGTAATGATACCTTATGGGATAAGAAATGAGATGAAAATAATGTAATGAATGAGTATCAGTGAATAGGTAACAAGAGATTTAAAGTGGGAAAATGTATACATTTTATTCTGTAAGTTTTATTGTTTATGTTTTCTCCGAATATTTCAAAAGGCTGAGTTATGTGAAACTAGTTGATGAGAATACGTATCAACATTATATTACTCAATTGTTTTCAGTAAACAAACAGCTGTTATTTTTTTGATAAGAACACAAAATAATATATTAGATTCTTGCATGCAAAATCTGCTGACGTCAAAACAATTAGGGTTCATGAAGATTATACGTTTGTACATCACTTTTGATGATCTGGCCGTAAGTATTGTGTAAGATAGACTACATTAGTGCAAATGCACCTATTTGTTACCATACTCCAGATTTTCAAAAACCGAATTCCTTCGCAAAAAACCCTTCTTTCTGTTTTTTTAATAATACTGACAGTGCTTAGTATCTCTCGATATTACAGTAACCAAATTGTATTATACAAAAGTCAGGTCTAGTATTTTATTAAGAATTCCTAATGAGCTAAACATGAATTTAAGCTCTCAGTCGAATTCATATAGCTTCACTATCTAAAACGTTGACATGCAGCTTTCTAAGGATCAATAGTACGAATAAGTAAGTCAAGGTTGATAACAAATAATGGTATACTATACTTCTATTTTCGCAAAAATGCCAACATATTCTAAGAAAAGTCTTTTTGTTTAATAAAACCATTTGTAAAAGCCAAGTGATCAAATAATATTGGGTTTAAACCTGTTGAGATAACTGTTTTGTAGATCTTCATTTCTTCTGTTATACATGAAATTACTTTCTGTATAGCACACTACACAGACAAAGAAAGGCAAATGCAACATTTACCTGTATATTTCAGTTTATTGGGTATAATAAATTGTTTTAAAACTTGCGCCGATATACTACTCTCATTTGTTACCTTTTCACTCCTAAGCATAAATATTTTTAACTTTCGCCTTATGAAGAGATCATTCAACATTTTTGATCATTAATATGAAAGATATTTGATAAAATGCAATTTTCGAAACTAGTATTTGAACTTTAGAAAGTATAGGTGAACGACACTACCACAACATTGTTCTCCATATTTTTTACCACATTTTCTAAAATGTAAGGATATTTCGGTTCTTTTATTCCCATATTAGTAATTAGGTAACAGAACATATATATATATATATATATATATATATATAAGAGAGAGAGAGAGAGAGAATCCACGGAATTTTCTACCAACCCGGTTAATGGAATTAGCAAACAGTGTGTCTGCCATACCAATAATACGGGGTTATTTTCTTTATCATCTAAGTTGTGTCGACGACATCTGTGTTCAGAATAAACATAACTTTTAAAAATACAGCTAATTAGACATCAGATACTGTCAACATAAACCACTTGATTTCAGTGCAATTAAAGCAAAAAATAGTGTTT